TAACAACAGCGGCTACCGCGGCTATCATGAGACCGCGTGGATCATCAACCGTTTCATGCACGTCACTCGCAAGCATCAACTGCACGACGTCTGCCAAACCTTACTTGGACAGATCTATCAGCTGCCCAATATCGAGATCTCGGAAGCCTTTCTCAAGTTGCGCGAGCAGGCGCGCTGTCACCTTCGCAGCTCGAACGACCTTCAAGCGGGCTTGGACGTGATCAACAGCACGGACCTCATGTACTTCTCGATGCCGCAGAAGGCTGAGTTCTCGACACTTAAAGGGATCTTCAATGCAGCGCTTGGACACCCAGCGGAGGCGAACGAGAACTTCTCGGCAGCGCTTACCCTCGAATTGAACCTACCAAAGACGTGGCAAGAATGGGCTAAATTCAACGACAACATGTTCAGCGAAACGAATGACGTCACGTATGCCACGCAGGCGGTGGCGTGTTACTTGCAGGCTGCAGGGATGTTCCTGTCAAAAGTGGTAAACCGCGTATGATGCTCAGCCGCGTTCTTTGGCTTCTCGGTGTTGAGGACGCGTCTGGTGCCGTCCTGAAAGCGTTTGACACATACTAGGGCGAGGCCGCGTACTAATATTGGATCTCGCTGATCCCGCAGCTTTGTGCTTCAATCTCCAGTCGTGAGGTGCGGCAGGCGCGTTTCATGCTGCTCAACATCGCGAAGCTCTACCCGCAGGTAAAGCCCGTATTTGCTCTCGCAGCCGTCCTCGAGCTGATGTGCTATTAGGCGCTATTCTTCCGCCTACGCACTACTCGCGACGAGATGGCGCACGCGCGCCGTCGCGTGATGATGAGCGAACAGCGCGTACGAAATGCGGAACAGCAGCTGCAACAGCACAACGGCGGCGATGTAGTTATGCAGGACGCAGCTACGAACGGGAATGCTCCTCAGCCATCAGGTGTCGACCCGTCGTTGTTGCGCGAGCCGCAGGCGGCCAAGAACCTGCAACGACCGGGCTCTGAGCACATCGACGAGGTTGTGCAGATCTTCAAGACCGCGTTCCCGCTTCTTATCCTAAGTATGGGATCAATGGTCGAACAGCTGAACTCCCGGTTCAAGACGTCTCCGGACGAGAACAAGTACCGTTTCATATGTATGCTGCTTCAAGAAGCTCTGCAGGTTTGTTTCGATCTTGACGACAGATTGATCGTTCGCTGACTCGTATAGACCTACGCGATCAAGGTCAACTAGACGCCAGACGAGCCTGGCATTCGCCCAGAGACCTTGGCCACCATGCAACGCGTCTAGCACGATATCCCGCTTGTCTATCGCGTACGTAGCGTCTTGTATGAGCTGAATCCACCATTCAACGCGCTGTAGGGCGACTTTGAGGCCGACTTCCTAGACAAGAAGCGGCAGCCTACTCTCAACGAGTACATCCGGCGACTCCAGTTCTGGCGGGATCGATACGAGAAGGTTCTCGACGCTCGTTCGCGCGTGCAGAGCCTTTAGCTTCTCAGCCATTACCTCACTGAGTTCCAGTACAGCAAGTTCGACGACATTGAGATACCGGGCCAGTATACGGAGGTATGATGAATGCTCGACGGTTTGAATTTCCGCTGACCTCGCGCTCAGGACAAGGACGGCAACCAGAACTTCTTGCGCATCGCCAGGTTTGGCCATCAGTTCGAGAACTATCGCGTGCAGGGCCAGTCTTGGAAGAGGTTCGCCACGATCGGCCAGGACAACAGTGTCGTATCCTGGGTTGTACAACTCCCCGCGCACCGCTATTCCCGTCGTGAAGAGCGTCTTATGCAGACGCTTCGTATGTTCAATCAGTAGGTCTAC